CAGCCTGCGCATCCGCGCAGTCTGATCAGGATCCATGCTGTTCGCTTACCAACTCTTTTACAAGTAGAGAAACTTATAGCGAACAGCATGGATCCTGATCAGACTGCGTGGAATTGCGCAGGCTGATCTGGATCCATGCTGGTCTCATCCCCACAATGTTGGTTTTGTCGTGACGCGGCTCAAATGTAGTTGACTATCAATTAAGGTAAGTCTGCCATGCACTATAGTAGAATTATGCCCCCATATCTAAATTGTATTTATTTAATTATCCAGCACAGCACAGAAGAAAGAGGCAGGTGCTGTTAGAGACTCTACATGTCTTCTTTTTTTGTTTGCTGACATTTTGCACTTGTTGTTTGACTGTTTAGGATGAAGCTACTTAGGTGATAATGGCATTCTGTCCGTTCATATTGCAAAAGTTACTGATAAGTCATTCTATTTTGTGAAAATGACCAAACCTTGGATTATACAAGATTACAATTTTATTTGTATGTATACAACATTATCCATTCATGATCTTACCTTAATTACTATATTTAGACAAATAAGAAAAGTTTGGCCAAAGCAAATTTGAGCCTCATTAAAAAGGTGATAGTGTATGATAGTATCTCGGGGTATACCTTGCAAATTATTTAAATCTACGAAAGCCTTTTAGCATTACCAGCAGATTTAACCCTTATAGTTTTGTTGAATTTTGTTTAAAGGCACATTAAGCATTAGTGATGAATCATTTTTTTTCTATTTTAGTAGAAAGCGAAAGCATATGTAATTATTTTTGTGATAATGGATTTAGGGCATGTGAGTAACTTATCACATGAAAAAAATGAAGAAAATAGCATTAAATGTAAAAAATTTTTTTAAAAAGGTAGTAAAACGTAAATAAAGTGATATTTTCAATTCCATACAAAATACTTAATCAATGTAAGTCTTTTAATTGCCAAAATGCGAAAAAAGAGAGAAAAATCATGGCTTAGATTTCAGCAAGTTCTATGTATCTCAAATTATAGGCTGCAGAGACCATTAACTTTTGCAAGTACTGTCTGTGAAAATGTTGAAGAGTCTAAACTACATGTATATTGGGGCCGCCTAATTGAAGTATAATATTCGGTAGAATACTGATAAAAAATACTTAACACACCAAAATACTTAACTTTTAAGAATACGTTTTGTAAATTTCAAATTAAGTCGATGGGGCAGGTACGAAATCGTCCCTACAAGATAGTTAATAAAAATAGCAGTTGATTCGTTCTTGCTTCATTTTTCATTCTGTATTTTTATATGGTTCAGGTGCGTAAAATAGAGACATTTTTTATGTTTCTAAAAATCTCTCCAATTATGGTTACAAGAAAATGAAGACGACGTGACTGCTCATTCTGTATAGTATAATTTGCTATCATGGCTTTACACCCTTTAAAGCCTCGGTCTCACTTACTCCCGGCAGAGCCCAGGACCATCCCGGTAAGTTACCGGGATTATCCGGGACGATCCGGGATGAAATTATTGTTGCGGTCACACTTACCCCGGCAGCACTACGGTAGTTCCCTACTAACCACCCAGGATGTGCTCCGGATCATCCAGGCAGAGTCCAGGTGAAGCTACGGTTCATGCCGGTGCTTCCCCGGTCGTTCCCGGATGACGCCGGAAGAGCCCCGGTTGACCCAGGCAGAGCCCCGGTCGATCCAGGCAGAGCCCCGGCAGAGCCCAGGACAATCCAGGCAGAGCCCCGGTAGAACCCCGGTGGATTGAAAACGCCCGAAAATGATAACATTGATACATAATTTTTATTTAATATAATATCTTTTGTTTCAGAATAGTAATTCATGATGATTTTCTGAAAAATCCTTATGCCATACTGGATAGAAGGGAAATACAATGCAAACAAGTGCAATCATCGCAAATTGTCGTTATTCTTTTGAAATGATCCGGGCTTTGCCGGGGCTCTACCGGGATCAACCGTAGCTCTACCTTTATCCTCCGGGGCTCTGCCTGTAGTTACCGGGGCTCTGCCGGCATATACCGGGTCTCTACCGTAGCTCTACCGGCTATATCATACCCCGGATCAGCCCCGGTTTGTGCCGGCAGAGCTACGGTGCTTTCCCGGTATAACCCCGGTCGTTCCCGGCAGAGCTAAGGATGAAGCCGGCAAAGCTATACCTTCCCGGATCACCCCGGTGATATTAAATATTTTATTCCATCCGGGGTCGAATGCCGGATCATCCCGGATCATCCAGGATGTTGCCGGCAGAGTTACGGATGTACCCCAGTTGTTCCCGGTCGTTCCCGGATCACCCCGGACGTCTACCGGGGCTCTGCCGGGGCTCTGCCGGGATGTAAGTGAGACTGTAGCTTAAGAAGTTGTATTCTTACATCACGAAATATTTTTCAACATAGCTCTTTTCAGTCTTTACAAATAAAACCACAACAAACAACGTTTTCTACAATGTGGATCTCTTTGATTTCATTTAACTATTTAATTTAAAAATACAGTGTAAATTTGAAAACTTGGACGCATATAATCCTTTAATAGTGATCAGTGATAGAGCAGAGTTTTATTTCTTTAATTTTGCCCAGTTTTGCGGTTTCTGTTTTCACGTCGATACGCTGTTGGATGTGCGAGATTATATTTAACCGTTGTAGTTCTTTTTGTAAAATTCCACTTCAGACAAAGGTTACATTTTACACTGATCCTTGGAGTTTTTGTTACTTGTATATAATCAAGGGATTATACAGGATTAGTATTAAATAGCAATGATACACAAATATTTAGTTCCAATTTTATTTCTTATTTAATACGATCAATAAATATTTGCCAAAGATTTGGACAAAATTTAATATGGAAAGGTGCTATATAGTCTGTTATCAATAAAGGTCCGTGTCACGTTTTGCACTAACCCATTTCGTTAAAATAACTTAGGAGACCTTTGATGATTGTCCAGTTTGGTGCTATTGGAAAACAATGCCATAAAATTGGAATTGTTAGATGCTGTTTTTATAGAGGATTTCAATAAAAAAAAGAACTGAAATCATTTGAAATTATGCAGCCATTAATAAGTGTGCTTTCTGCTGGTTGCTTCTTTTCTGGTAGACACTAGTGGTAAAGTCATAATATGTAGTGCACAGACAATAAGAAGATATATAAGTACAATAAAATAAATAAAAAAGATACTGAAAGATGGTAAACTTAGTTTCACCATTGCTTGGTAAATTCTGAGTTTTACATGTAGGTATTCTATTCTTTACTTCCAACACATTTACTAAATGAAACATAAAATAAATCCTAATAGTTTATAATAATATTATTATTTATTAATTTATATTTGGGGCTAATCCGAACACGTAAAAGCAATGTTTTATCATAATGTATTTGATTGAAAAAAGAGCCTAAAGTACAGTCAAGACTGTTTTAAGAGACCGACTTTGGGAATCAAGAACAAAGGTCACATATGACAGGGAGTGTCTTAAAACAGTTTGAATCTAAGAACTAAGGGAGAAGAAGTTGACAGATAAGAAACTTGTGGATGAGATGACAAATTTAGTTGCCTGTATCTTACTAAACATAACTTTGTTAAGAATTTGATTTTTAAATATTTATGTGTTTAGTTTTTACATTAACGACTCTTTCATAATGCATAGCCATGTACAACAAACCATTGTGGTACGTTAGTAAATGTATTTGAATACTTATTACTCTGGGAGAAATATAAACAAATATGTCTCATCTATCTATTTCTTTAGACCTTCTCCTCCCCCCAAATATAAGAGAAAAAAGTAGGTCTGAACTTGTGGTTACCAGGGCATTTTGCTGCGTGTATTCCATTAATATCCTTGTGTACAGAAGAAATTTTAAGCTGTTTCAATTTAATATGAAAAAATATATTCAAATTACCACCGCTATTTAGACCACAAAAATGTAGACTAAAACCACTATCAACAATTAAAACTCGGTGCAGTTTTTAAAAACATAATAGATTATGGAGACAGGTATACATATATTTGAAGATGACCAGCATTTTTTTAAATTTTATAGCTGTAATAAAATGTTCAAATGATTCGGTATTAAGTAGTTAGTTCAATGCTGTATATTTTATTCTTTTGAATGCTGGCTATATCAATTATAGACCACCAATATAGACTATATCCAGACACTTTTATAGTACTGGATAGACTCGCTCTTTCTGTCAGTACTTTGATACCCAAAAAAAATCTATTAATTTACTAATTAATAGACTAATTCTATGTGTCATGTTTAGCATGACAATTAGGAAATAGAAGTGAATAAAGCAACAAACTTGTTTTATGAGAACTTCATCTTTGATTGGTTACTGATACACTATAGTTACTGATACACTATAACCCTTTATTAATTTTGTTTTAACAGACTTTGAATTATTTTTTTAATCTGTTTATTTTTTGTTAACGGGATAATCAAAATATGAATATGGTCAGACAACAATATAGTGCTTGGTCAGGCATCAGGCTGTCCTGGTTGTTAAATGGAGTCATATGATGGTCATTGTAGCAAATTATCACGAGTTCTGGGGCAAATATTTTATGCAATTATATGCATATATAAGATTATTATTATTGTTGAAGCTGTATTTAGATAGGTTACATATGCATCAAAATCATCTAATACGAGGCAAATTGATTTGATAAAAATATTCATTACATTTTGAAAGAAACACTTTTTTGCATTAGATATTGTTTTATTTCGTTTGTTAATTTTATATCAAAATTTTGTGTTTGATTGATTTCTTTGCAACACCACATTGTCATGCTATCTGTCTTCTTCAAACATCAAGATTAAAATACATATTGGACTTTTGATTCTTTATCAAATGTTGAAAAATGCCATTCATTTTTTGACATATTTTACTTTGCAAAAAATCACCTAGTTTATTGTGACTTTTTATTGTACCTTTTACTCTGCCATATAGACCAACTTTACGACCAGTTTTACGCCATTTTAAAGCAGGCGCAATGAAATGAAAAGACAGCAATAAAAGAATAGTAACAATTTTATTACAACATGTATTAGTAACATTATTTCTTACAGAAGTTATGTAGAAATAATTCCGATATCAATGTGAAATTGTGAAATTTTCGAAAATAAATTGATATTTTGCGACAGGTGTGAAAAAATCAGCAGATGATACATTCAACCTGGGTCTTAAAACGACAAATTATTGTAATAATCTTAATTTCTCTCAATATTTTACTATTGTAAAACATGTTTTATTATTTCTACAGCAATTGCTGATAGTTAATGAAGTGATTCTCATACAAGTTTAAAAGTATAGTTTCACCGTTGAAGTTTTTTTTAAAAGCATTTCAATACGAGATATTCAAGGCAATTAAAAAGCATAGAAACTCTTCGTTATATTACCCTAAATTATTGCTTTTTACGAAATTTTATTGTTGCTCCAATATTATAAAAAAAATAATAATAAAATGAAGATCTATATTTTCATACAAGAATTCTGTGCTACCAAAATGTATTTTAGACTGTATACATATTTGTTTTCTGAATTTTAGCCTTATGTTGTTTTAAATACAAGTTGTCTTTCTTTACAAAAAAAAGCAAAAGAAAAGAAAGACTAACAAATGCACCAGGTAATAAACTTGACCCTGTGTGAAAAAATTATTTCAAACAATTTGAAAAAAACACTGTATTGTTTCAATCAAGCATTATTCACTTAAAATGATTTCCTTGGCATTTTTTTGCCATTTTAGCACCAATTAAATCAGATAGAATTGTTCATAAATGCATATTTATATTAAAAATGCCGACGAGTATATAAATTAAATTAAATAACATCCATATTCAGTGCACAACATGTTTACACATAAGTTGCTTGAAAAACTGGCTTTTTTGGTTCCTCAAACATTGTCTGGTCAATTTCAAAATTATTGTCACGTGATACTTGTCTTGTATGTGCACGTGATACATCCGAGAAATTCTTCCGATATTCCTCTTTGTTCATTGGACTAAAAAAGTAATCATTTCTCTGCGGAGGAAGACGCGGTAAACTGTTTGTGTTTGGAATTCGCCAGTCACGTGACGGTTTTTCCTGGAATGTTATGTCCGTGATGTTTTCGCGCAGTAAGGAGAGATTGTCAATACTACAATAACCATCAGAGGTTTCGTCGTGTCGGCCAATATGAGCCGCGGCACCATCCTCGTGTAGCGGGTAAGGATACCCTTGAAATGGTATCCTTTCTAACATTTTATCGGAAGCTACCGATGCATATCCGGAATCTGAACGTTCCGAATTTAAGTTCGCTTTGGCGGGAAAGTTTGAATTCACATCACCCATGAAAATGTAATTATCTGTTTCTTTAGTTTGAGGTTCATTAGAACTGAGGTATTTTCTTTCAGGCAAAGCCGGTGGTTCCTTTGGAATAAAAGTTCCGGGAAGGTCAGGAATTGTTGTGAAACGTCTTATTTTAGGAATTTTAGGATTTGCTCGCATTTTCTTCCATTCTTCGTAAAACTTTTCGTCGCCTGGGATTGTTTCATAAACATGGTCATCAGGCCTTGGTCTGTTCATAAATTGCTCGTTAAGCGTTGGCCTTCTTTGACCATGGGGCGGATTTTGATCATTGCTAATTGAAACACTCGTTTGATTAAATCCAATGTCTCTATGACCGCTCTCCGTACTCGAGAGCTCACCCAGCGTGTTATTGCCACCTGAGAACGTATTAAAATCCACTTGATGCTCGTTATTATCTACACTTGAGGACGTCACATCAGACGTGCCACATAAAAGGTCTCTCAAGTCATTTTGAACCTTATTACAATTGTTGATAGCAGGCGAGGTTACTAATCTGTTAGTGATCTCTGTATGAGAGAGGTTGCGCTGAATGGATTGGGATTCATTGCACAGCGGGCGTCTCACACACCTTACAACTGCACCCGAAAATGGTGACACATTATGTTCAATTTGCTTGTTTGCAAAGCCCTGGTCAATCTGATTATCCAACAATGAATTATTTGATTGCACCCTCCCACGCGGTCTAATTTCACGCGAGGAAGCATTCCCGTCAGTTCCGGAATTGTGTTCTTGTGACGTTCGCCGCCCTTTTTTCGAACGTTTCCGTCCGTCTGCTGCAGCTTTTTCGCCATTTTGAAGGTCATGAATGATTTCATACATTGATCTAGTCACTTTTGTCAGTTTATAATTATGTCTTTGTGTGTAAGAAAATCCCTGAGAATCTCGTTCCTGATTGGACATTTTAACAAGAGGGCCCTCCCCCGTTTCACATCTTTGCAAAGTACCCGGCACATTTTCTTGATTTTGAGTAGGAAACACTGGTAGCGATGAAAAGCCATGACTCGATTGTAAAGAGGTATTTGTATGAGTATTAGCACCATTTTCTGATGAATAATTCACAGGTTTTAATCCACTGTCTGTTGGTACCGTGAAATTTTCTTTGTTGATATCATTTTGAACACTATAACTTAACGACTTACTTTGTTTATTGTCTAGTTCCCGGTTTTGAGTATAATCACTTTCATATCCACTAGAAACAGTTACGTGGGATGGTTCCACTTTCATATCATTAACATCTCCTATTAAATTCCTAAGGAGAATATCAAACCGCGTTCTGACGTCATTGTCAGTTTCCGCACTCGGACTGACTGGTGATTTATCGGAACTATTTTCCCGGTTATATCTTTTACTGGCTTTCAACACGGTATAAGACATACTCGACATTTTACGTTTATTATCCTTCGCATTATCACAAACAAAATCCTTAGGTCTCACATTCATATTGCCACTGTCCGTATCTACAACACCATTGACTGAAGGACGAACTTCAACTTTCTTTGGAATTATAAACTTCTTTGGTATAATCCTATGATCGAATACTGACACTCTAAGTTTTGAATCACTTCCATTAGCTGGATTAGCTACACTGTGTAACAGCTTAGCCCTGACGGCTTGATTGGCGAGATGACACCGTGTATTTTCCTCACCGTAATCGCTAAAATCTGATTCTTCTTTAGAGTAATCAACGGACATGTTCACACAGGGATTTTCATCGTCCTCACCCTTGCTTGTATCAGCATTGGTGCTCATTGACCTAGATATTGACAATTCTTCTCTCATATTTTTGTCTAGATTATTATCGCTCAATATCGTAGTGTCTTTGTCGACTTCACATTGTCTTATAGCTAAATTACACTCCGTATGTATTTCTTCACAGCTGGCTATAGCAGTCAATTGTTTTTCATCAATAATCTCCATTGAACCTTACATCTCCGAAATCATAACATTTAAGTATGAACTATCTCTAACAATAATCTAGCAGTACAATATTTGTATTCTACACCCGACAATACAATTTAACATCCAGCTTTAATAACAGTTTGTAGTACACTGTAGAGGATAAACCTTCGAACAAGAAATTCTACCCACAATTGTTATAGACCGTTGCTCATTGTTGCAGTTGACTAATTCCCGATGTTTATCATCCGGGGTATTATCAATAGTATCATCTGAGTTACTCGCAACACCTACGGTTTATTAAACTCCGCAAACAATTATGTTTTCTTTCGTTCAGCGTTTTGTTTGGATTTCAAAAAAATATACCCCCGTAAGATTTTTTAATGTCCAATTTTTATCTTATTTTAAATCACTGTATATAACTGATGCTATCTGATTTCTATAAATAGGTTATCGTACTTTTTTATTATATATAGTTTTATGTATTTGTTTACATATTCATTGACAATTGTCTTGTTATATTGTTATTACCCCAATCATTAATATTGATGTTTTATTAATAAGCCTTGGCAGTCGTCTGACCAAGTGTTATTGTCGTCTGCTTTGGGTGATCCCCAATTTGATTATATGATTACTTCACACAGTCAAGAAAATAGTCCGCCCTTTTGAGCGCGTTTGGTTGAAGTCCACGTCTTCGTCTGCTGCTTGTATCTTTGGCAAATCTGAAAAACATATGATACAATGTTTAAAACTTTAAATATTACAATTATTATAACAATCTATTTTAGCAAGTAGAGAACTTTTCATTTGTTTTTGAAATATATTATAAAATGTTTTTTTTATTTTATTTACCTTGACTCTACAAAATCCTTAAATTTGTTTGTTTACAACGACAAATTACAATTTATACATGACGTGTAAGTTTAAGTACCACTTTGCTTATAGTATTAAGTCACATTTGTTTGCATTATTGCGTCGTATGGCGTATTTTGTAATCCCGTACACAATTAGATAGATATTATCAGATAATTCAGTAAGTCATCTGATTCTATTCTACTATTCTACATTGTGAGATGTTAGTGCCAAAAAATCTGCAGTGATACATAAAGAACAATAAACGCATGACACATCCGAAGTTTTGACACTAATCCTTACTCGTAGCTCTTGCTTGTCCTATTTTACGAGTTTAGTATAACTTTGTCTTAGGAGTAGTTGGATTAAGCCATTTGACGGATTAAAACCTACGTAAATCTATACATAGATATATTCGCGATTTTAAATCTTATATAGTTTTTTTGCCACACAATTTGCGTTTCCTGCTTTCCTTATATTCTGACCACATTAATGTATTTATGAAACGTTCTTAGATGCATGTTTTTAAAATATGCATGTGTATTATAACATGACTAGCACGTTTGTTCTGGTGTTCAAGAAAGGAAAATAAAAAATGGACGAGTGAGTGAATGATATACATCAAATATATCTAATTTCAAAGAAAGATTGAAATTTGAGTAAGGTTGCGACACAAGAAATACCCGTACTAAAGGCGAATTCACAAAATATAACATGGTAATAAAAAACGAACTGGAAAGACACTGGTAGTCACCGCATGACTATTACTGTCGTCTGCTTTACCCTCACTCAGATGTCGTAAAATTGTAATGATTTTTGGTTACTGAGCAAATTAAAACATAATGATAACCCGCTATGATTCAATTTCCTTTTAGTATTACACATAACACAATTATATGGGTCATTTAACAATCTCACAAAATATTTCGTCTGCCTTTCACGACAACCGCCTGCATCTGTATCTTTTCGTTAGGTCCGCCGCAGACGAAGCAGGTAGGCCACACACATCATAATTATACACATTGGTTCTTTTTCCGTTTGTGTTTTTTTTTCATACAGATAAGTCAAATTTCCTGACCAAAACGAATTTTATTAATATTAAAAATGGTGTTACAAAAGAATCGTAATATCCAGTTTAAGCTGCTCAGCCATTCTTAGATAGCATGGATAACGAGAATGTCTAACATTTGCACCCCAGTTTCATGTGCCAGTGAACTTCCATTTTTAACAGTCAGAAAAGACCAATAATGTTTGTTTTTGTTGTTGTTGTTGTTGTTTATTACTTAGACAATGTTTTTCTTTCAAAATTGTAAGTGTACATGTTAAATTTTATCATGTTACTATGGTTATAGTTGTCATGCGTACCTATAATACTGTGTTAATTGACGTCTTGTCTCGCTAATTTCTTTTTCTAGACTATACAATAGTTTGTTTTTTCTCACGCTATGCATATATGATGTAACAGTGTGTTTTGTTTTTCATCTACATTGTAGCAAGTTATTTGCCATATATGTGCGATTTATGTTAAGTCATTTATTACTGGCAAGTTTCATGTATAATGTATGTGAAGCCATTTACACTAATAGGTCAATACTGAATCTTATTTACATATGTGATTACACTGACATTTGTATGCTTACTTAACTAAATTAATAGTTATGGTATAACATAAGCTCCCAAGGACATTAGCTCTTAAGCTTATCCAGGGAAAGTAAATCTGTACGGTACCGATCATCGGAAAATCGTTGATTGTTTAGTCATTTCAAAACAATGACATTGGAAAATGTGATCAAAACAATAGATGGGCAACATAATTAAAAAATTTCTCCTAATTATGAGTGAAAACTCCTAATTAGCTGTAACTGGGAGAATTGGGAGAAAAGATTTTTACCGTATCAAAGTCCTAAGTAGACTTTTATAACTGATTAAAAGTGAAAAAGTCCCTTTTAGGCATTTAAAACTCCTTTGTTTTCTGTAGGATTTTCTATTTACTATTTTTTTTATATAAAAATGATTGATGTATATTCAAGTATAACTTATGTTTGTATCATGTATGCAATAACGGGTTAACTCCTATAGTAGATTATATAAAGAGTTAATTTGTTACTGCACTAAAGCGACGGACTATGATGAATTGAGATAATAAATTTTCATTTGATTTGATTTAATAGCAGAAACAGCATAAAACCAGCTTCGGTCGCTTTCACAGATAACATTACTTATAAACAGATCTATTTTCTTTTACCAGAATGCCTTAAATATATTTTTTAATTCAGTCATGGATGTCCAGCCATTTCATCAACAAAGCACACTATTTCTGTAGTATTAAATTTAAATTAAGCACGTATAATTAATATTAGAGCAATAGCTAAAATGTATCTCTTATTTTAGCGTAAAGAGCGTTTTCGGAATTTTGTTTTACGAATCACAGACGCATTGTTTTGGTTTATATAAAAAGTTGTTTGGATTTCTTTATATATTTGGCATTTGGCTTGATTGGTATATCGTAAACATTTTAAACCTTTTCTCTAAATTTTAAAGCATGTAGTTTGGTAATATAATCAAAATTAAACATATAAATATATTTATGGTACCTATCGATGAGGTATAACTTTTTATTGTCATGTTTTATGAAGGAAGTGTACGTATATTCCGAAGATCCCTCATATATGATAAGAAAATCCTTCTGGATAATACAAAAAGCGTGAGAATTTTTATATGAAAAGTATTTTTGACGAATGACAATCCATATCATTAAAATAGCATAATGTAAATAACGTGTCGGTGTTATAATGAATCAATCTTGGTCTTAAAAAATAAACAATTATTAATAACACAATGCTACAGTAATTTTAGTATACGTATAACAACACATTTGTGTCATATAAAGTAAAAACATAAAATGATTAAGTAGGACATTATTACCACTTGCCCTGTTATATATGTAATATTTGCGAACCACTTGTTTTTGACGTGTCTTAATGCTTCACGTTTTTTGTCCATTTATTACTGTCGCAAAATGTACCTTTGAATTTCTGCCTTAATTATTCTTCAAAAAAATAATATATTGTATGTACTTACTGGCACTTATTCCATTTCAGCTATATATCCTTAAAATGCGCACTTAAGACAGAGATATTCCTTCTCAAATATATACTATTTCATTATTAATATTCCAAAGTACGTGCTTTCATCAGTTACAAGTCTTTTAAAGACGAAATAGTACATACATTGTTTCACTAAGTTTGTAGTAAAATTCCCTGACAAATTATACATAAATTTTTAAACATTTGCTATTTAAGTTTATTAAAAAAAAATTCTGCAGAAAGCAAACGTAAGTAACACGAACCACACAAACACCTAGCAGACGACAGTTTTGTATCTCGCGAACAAGACAGCAAATTACAGCAAGTATTAAATCACACCGATGGTTAAGATAAATATTTCAATAATGACCCGCTTTCTCTGCCTTAGGGTAAAACATACCGCTGAAAAATGTTACACGCTTCGGAGATTCCGTAAAAGCAGAAAATACAAAACATCTTGAATGAAAAAATTGATTGTCGTAAATCGCAACTTTTCGGCATTAAAGCGATAATATCTCCGAGACAATAGCCATGGTAACTCTTTGTAACTGGTAACTGGCGATAACAAAGTGTTTCTTTATTGTTATTTCATTTACGGCCTTTAAAATCATTTTTATCTATATTTTATAGTAAATCGAAATAATCACCGATTTTCAGTCAAATCGTTGGTATAAATTTGCCTTTAAACACTATTTTTTGTATTCATGTTTTAAAAAGTCTAATTAGACTATTTGATATGGTTGATATTCATATAATTATAGTATTTTTTATAATAATTATTTTATATTTCAAATAAATTTTGTCTTAATAGAGATGAGTATCCTTTTGTTTCATAGAAACTATATACAGGAACTGATAGCATTATTAAAGAGTGTCAAATACAGCTTTGTGTTACTAACGTCGGAGCAGTGGAAACTAAGACTTGCATAAATCTTTCCAACCAAAAAGTAGTCCGTCTGTTGACACCTTTTCCTTACTGGTGACATGAGAAGAAAAGCATAATAATAGAAATAGGTACAATTGAATTTAGGTGTCAAACACCTTCAAGTGACGATAATTACAATTCTGGCAGGCTCTTGGTTCACTCGCAACTTCGCAAGTGACGAAATTACAATATAAAATCGATAAAACGTGATGGGAGAAGAATTGTATGTACATGGTTTAAATGATAAAAATAACAATATATACTTGGTTATGATCATGTCCCCTGCGTTTCAAAGTAAAAATAAAGCAAAAAGGATAAAAGACATATCCTTATTTCCAGGAGAACAAGTAGATTTAACAACAACAGAAACAACAACAACAACACAATATGCTAGCCTCAAACGTTTTGACCAAATCGCTCATGGGGCCTCCGTGGCCGAGTGGTTAAAGTCGTTGACTTGAGATCACAGGTCCCTCACCACTGTAGGTTCGATCCTCTCTCGGGTCGAAATCTTTCATGTGAAGAAGCCATCCAGCTGTCTTACGGAAGGTCGGTGGTTCTACCCAGGTGCCCGCTCGTGCCTGAAATAATGCCCGGAGGGGCACCTGGGGTCTTCCTACACCAATAAAGCTGGAAAAAATCGACGAAAAATCGGGACGCTCAAGGATGACCCGACTTGAGTGTACGGTCGCCCATATGGGCTTTCCGGCGGCGACCTTAAATAAACGCATAAAAAAAAAACAAACAAAAAAAACCAAAAAACAAATCGCTCTGGGAAACCACTGACATGGCAGAACTGAAAATCTGTTTTCGAGAATAATTTTCCACTTGATGTACATGTAGGTCTAGACCAATAACTTTTTTGTAAAAATTTAGACCATTCGCTCAATTGATTTTTTCTGAATGTGAAAAATAAAAAGCGTTGCAACACTCAAACCGGTCTGAGATACAATTTTAAATTTATCTCTTAGAATATTTCATTATCATCGTTTGGATATATTTTTGTTTTATGTACCTCAAATATTAATCTGTGTAAGAAATTTATGTTTTAAGGTTTTGCACCTCAGAGGAGTTCCTTTAAGTCAGTACAAGATACATATACGATAGTAAATACAAAATCAATTATACAAAACGCGCGTTAAACTTTTCATAATGGAACTTTTATTCGAAATTTTGGGATCAACCAAACAAACACATTAAGATAGTTTAAGGCCTACCGTATTCAAAGTTTCGACAAATTTCCTTATCCTATATTCTAATAACAGGGGAAAAAGTCAGTAGCGGAACGGAGAAGACCAAAATGATATAAAATTCAAATTACTACTAGAGGCAATGTATTGAAGTAATGATGTAGATTTTCAAACTAATGTCATTCATGAACAAGCCGATATGACCTCGTAAGCGGGTTTGCAAACACATAAAAATTCCTTATCTGTATAATGGTCAACGCAGTTTGCGGTCCATTATTTACTAAATGACCGTATCTGGCCACGACTTGTCACCGAGGAATGTCCACTGTAAACTAAACTGACTGAAGACCACCGTTTCTTTGTCATTTTATGCTAATCAGGGGACATATATACCTCACAATGTATCTGTATCGTTCAAGATGAAATTTATTATTTTATGTATTAGATCTAATTAATGTAGAAACAAAAATGGATTTCATAACAGCTAAGTTAGTGGATGGAGGTTTTTTATGATCAAAACCGATGTTGATATTTATGTATGTTTGATTTTACTGTAAATGCCTTAGCAATAACAGTTATGTATGTGAACCGCCTAAGACCGCGTTCACTATCGATTTGCAGCTATATTCATTGAAAGTTGCTAAAAAGGGACAAATACCTATAACAAAATATATGTACCTTAAAATGAAATACTTTTTACAAAATATCTAATTACACAAAAAATATTCTAAGAGTCATGTGGTACAAATGACGTGCCGTATTGGACCACCGCACTGTCTAGCGATACATTATAAGTAAGCAATGCATAGACCCAGCACCCAATCTCCTCCTTTTAATAGTCAGTCTGCATCTTTCATTTCATGTAACAAGAAAACAGTTATTGCGCTATTGGACTATATTGTCATTGATAAACATTAATTAAGTGTCATTATAGTACGAATGTAACCATAGATACTGATGGGAATATTTTGTTATATATATAACACAAAGATTAGAGTTTGCGTTCATTCTTCGACATTTAACTGATCAGCAAAAATATGTAAGTTCTTGCATTCATTTACGGTGGTCTTCAACCAGACAATATTTCCCTTCATAAACACCAGATCACAGCAACATCTGGCGTGACAGCTAGTCATAACGCATCCACTATATTATCAAATTCCCAAGTCATGTGAAAATTGAGAGCGGTGTCCATGCACCGGTTGGGCGGTTGAAATGGAAGGGGATGGTAATGAATTAATTTGGTCACATGATACTCTGATCTTTGGTCTGCATAATTCGTGAAATAATTAGGGGTGATGGGTTTGGAAGTTTGAAAGAAGTTCAAAAATTTTAAAAAATGATTTTGTTTTTGGGACCCCCTGACTGTTTATAAGGGGAAAATTTGCATGAGACCCCCCGCCGCGCACTATCAACAGGGTGTGGGGTCCCCGGGGTTTTTAATTTTTAGTGTATTAAAAAAAGTTTTTGACTTTTTTGACGAAAATTTGAGAAAAATGTTAACTTTATGTTTTTAATCTTTTTCGGATTTTGGTTTCAAAAATTCAGCCTATATTTGTATTCATTATATTTAGACCCAGGCAAAATAAAAAAATCTTGGCTGTGAAAAAAATCGTGCTGTTGTAAGAGATAGAATTCAATGAATTTTCAATTCCCCCTTACACATTTAAGTGGATCAGCGCCATCAGCATGTACTCATTTGCCTCGGACTTGACAAGGCGTATCCGTTTTCATTAATATGGTTCACTACGAACGTTGCAATCGTCTGGCACCCTCTTGTCACGTCGCGTACCTGGTACCAAAAAATCAAATGTAACCGCAACTATGGAGGTTAAGGAAAGATGTTTAACAAGCATAAATTAAACGGGTATCAAACTTCACACTTGTTGACCTTCATTCTAGAAATATAGAATCCCTGATTGTGGTACTAAGTACATTTATGGACAAGAAACCAAATTACTTATATTTGAAGTATCTTATTAAAACGCAAACATAAATATCCTAACGCAGATTGCATGAGCATGTGCTTAATTTCCAGATGAACCAAAATATTTCAAGAAAATTTAACTTGAGACAAATATACTTAGACTTTAATAGAAAGTAAAATGATTCAAGATTCAAGTTATAAGGTACATGCTATGCGACTGATTTTGCAGTATTTATCACCATATTTCTACCGCGAGATTTACGCGGCAAAGCTATTTTTGCATATTTTAACTTCTTAAGTGGGATTATTAAGTGGATTGCACGTGCCGTTTGCAATGTGTAAATTACTTCGTAATACATGTACTTTACTTTAAAATACAATTTCAAAATTTTCATGAAAATTAGCATGAATCTGGAGTTATGCTGCTTTAATATTGTAAGTGCTTAATGGCGTTTAAAAAGACATATATATATATATTAAATAGTTCGTATGTTAATGCTCGATATCAAAATGTTGAGATTTTGAATGAGATCAAATCCGTCATTAGGTTAATCTATGAAATTAATCTCGCTTACAAGGCGCTAAATGTCAAACGCTCTTGTTGAAAATAATTGCCATTTTTACGGTTTATGGTATAAAAATCGTTTTATTTCTCACGAAAACCGACCAGATCTGATCTGATTAGACAATATAGCGATGTCAAAATGGGAAAGTCGCTTTTATTGCAGAAAAGTCTATATTTATATGGTCGGACACCTTAAGTATTTTTTCGCTTTCTTTTAAGAGCCACATATAAACATGATACTTCTTTGCAAAGATATGTTGTCGAGAAGACATTCTGGCCCCACTTTTACTCGTCTGTGTGTGTCTTTCCGATTCCATTGCAGACAGGCTTATGCAATTCCTTGAATTCACATTTTGTAATGTTACATTATTCTAATTGCCCTTTTTGTATATTTTTGTTTGCTGATACTTCCCTACTAAATAATGTTGTATCATGAACCCACGAAACCCGCACATCGCTATAATTTTCTGTATTTTTTTTACGAATTTTGATAATAAACTTGCATTATCATACCTACACGAGCTATTGTCAACTTGAAAGTTCAGAAAGTGTAAATATCAACAGATCAAGTATCTGTAGGTATTCGAGGGGGTCAATAATAAATGAAAAGGTGAAATCCCCGTTGAACAATTGAAGCCTGTGCAAATTCATTTTGTTTTGATGATGAAGCAAAATTCCTTGATGAATAAATAAATATAGAAATATAAACCATGCTGT